ATTTAAAAGATGTATAGCCCTGATACTCCATCCTGGGTGCATTCCACCAGGTAATGACCACAGCAAAAGTTTTACACGAGCTCTATTTGTCACACAAAACTTTTTCACATTTTCAAACTTGATTCATCTTTCCCCTCCCCCCTCGTTCCAGGGTTTTCTTTAAAGGGTCTTCATGCAAATGCTTGGTTTCTCACAAATGATGGCCTCTGAAATGCTCTCACCTGCTAACTCTTTGTTGTGTATCCAAATTAATAAAAACTTTCAACATCCTCAAGTGTTTGTGTTCTTTTTCGGGATTGTTGATATGCCTTTTGCACTTTACGCTCATAATGTCCTTTTTCTTAGCAAGTATAGTGCATATTGGTGACAGATTTGTTGTACTGCCTAGCTAGTTCAACAACCTGTGCACCGTTTTGACGTTTATGAATGCTCTCTTTGTTTTTCCTCTATGGTCATTCTCACATGTGTTTTCTTGGCTTGAACCTTACCACTGGCTTTCTTGGGACTCATGGCAAGATATATAATAACAAATTTTATGTTCAAATAGCCAAAAATCCCAAAACAAATGTAATGCTTTATAAAGAATTCAGGCGCGATAGTTACTAGGCAGGAGACACTGGTAAACTGAGGTGCGATCACCATGCGTCAGTAGTTAACAGATGTAATGCATTAGGCAGTGATGTGGTGGAGGCAGACTCCATACACAGGTTCAAATGTAGATATGATAGAGCCCAGTTGGCTCAGGAATCTGTACACCAGTTGACTGACAGTTAAGAGGCGGGACCAAAGAGACAGAGCTCAACCCCCCACAAGCACAACTAGGCGAGTACACACATATTGGAACTGTTCATTTAATGTTTCATACTTTTTTTTTCATTCCCTCTGTATTTGTTCCCTATTTTCAATCTCTGGATTTAATCTTTCAAATGCAGCTTGCTCTTAATAAATTTATAAAAAAGGCCTGGTTCTGTTTTACAGTCAATATGTGTAGCAATAATACTTAAATATAGGTACATATTTTCCTTCCAGTACAGCATGTAGCTGTACTGCTTTAGTGATGTTTACCCTTGAATAAACCTTCTAGTTCCAATAAAGATAGAAATGCATAATCATTTATTTGCTAATTTCATCCCTTGTTCTACTAAAGAACTAACACCTGGGAGCAGCATCATGTACATTGTCTCACATTATTTCAAGAGTATGTGAGACAGTAAATATTAGTGAAAATTTAACATGTAATATTGACCACTTTTTTGTGGACACATTAGTGACACTTATTATCATTATTAAAACATTACACATGTTCTACTGTGTACACGAAAACATAAATAATAGTATTATTCAATAAAAATCACAAGAAAAGTATCTGTGGCAACTCGCGGGTCTTGAATCACCAAGAGATCAGCTTCGAGTCACTCTGCACATGTGCTCAACATCTTGTGATGACATTGTGACAAATTAGATTTTGTAATTGTTTTTTCCATTTACATGATCAGGGAGGCAATTTTAACATAAAAAAAAAATTGGGTATAATTTTTGTTGTGCACCATGAAGTTATCATATTAAACAGCTGCACAGTACATGGGCTCATTTCTTAGACAAGTATGTATATACAAGTATGTTTAGGGCAAATTCACAAATGAAAACATTAAAAAAAAGTTAATATTGCAACCATACTAGTTTTCCATGCAATACAATTTACTTTAAATCTCTCTATAGTATTTACAGGGAATATACAGTGCAAACATATCATACCATACCCAATGAAGAGCAAATAAAACTACTAGTCCATTTCAATTATTATTTACCAACTATATTTACTCCAGTACAGTATTTGAAACACTTTATTGAGTACAGCGTTACATAATGTACAAGAGAATCAGCAAACTTACGTCCAATCCATCTCTTCTACAGCCTTAGCTATTTCTGGGAGTACACCATTTCTGAAAAATGATATTATATAAATTTCATAAGCCAAAGTAATTGGTTAGTAACAAAACTTTTAATTATCTTGTTTAGACTTATGAGGAGGGGGTAGCATTAGCCCAGAGAAAAAAAATGCAAAACTATTGTATTGTTCTAGCAGGTTATAGGTATAAAAAAAATAAAACCACTACAATATTCCATCATTGCATCATTCAAACTATGTAAATATAAAAAAAGACATGCATCATCTCTCACTCTAAGCAGTATCCAACTGCTTTTTAAGACCTGTATACAGTGCTATCTCATGAATTGTCCACCATAATCAAATACTGTACATGCACTCCATCCTTACAAACTGCTTCCACCCAGCCACTATTTCCATAACCCATTTGCTGATCACACTCATTTCCTGCTTCCTCACTAAGTTTGCCCCACTATCATCTTGGTCCTATCTCCTATCCTGTCAGGGCGCCTGACAGCTGGGTGGACAGCGCTTCCGATTCGTAGTCCTCAGGCTCGGGTTCTATCCCGGTGGAGATGGACACAAATGGGAAAAATGTTTCTTTCACCCTGATGCCCCTGTTACCAGCAGTAAATGGGTACCTGGGAGCTAAACAGCTGCTTCCTGGGGGGTGTGTAACAAAAAGGAGGCCTGGTCGAGGACCGGGTCGCGGGGACGCTAAGCCCGAAATCATCTCAAGATGACCTCAAGATATCCCAACATCTCAAGACCTCAAATTCACACCAACACACACTTGCTTATCTATTATCTACTACTGTATTTATTTTTTACTTGCTACTATTATCCATTCATTCAACACGCCCAAACCACCTCGGTACATACTCGGGATCCTTTGCTCCATCAGCTTTTCCATATATTTTTTTTTTTTGAGAAATATACAAGAGTTGTTACATCTTGTACAGTCACTAGTACGCGTAGTGTTTCGGGCAGGTCCCTGGAATACGATCCCCACAAAGAATCGTTTTTACAACCAAGTACACATTTTACTGTTGCGCTAAACAGAGGCTACAGTTAAGGATTTGCGCCCAGTAAATCCTCCCCGGCCAGGATACGAACCCATGACAAAGCGCTCGCGGAACGCCAGGCCACTACTGGAACTCACTCCCTAACGAATTGAAAAGCTGTCCAACATTTGCCTTATTCAAAACTAGAACCAAAAAGTACCTAATATCATTTTCATAGTTTCCTACCTAGTGCTTTAAACTCGCACTGCATCTAGTGCTACCCAATCCCCCAATATATGTACCTAAGCCATACAACTCTACCATTGTAACCATTGCTATCACCTTATATCATGGTTTATATTGAACGCATATTTTACTGCATTATAGTTTAAAATAATCCTCAAATTATGCTACAATGTACCTGTGATACTCTCAATTTTTACATTAATGTATATACATGCTTAGTCTTAATAAATTTTTTTACTGTGACTGTAATTTTTTTTCCATTTTGATAGAACTTACCTACGTAAAATTATCTGTTAGTTTAAGGACCCGAAACGCTATGCGTGCTAGTGGCTTTACAAGAATGTAAAAACATTTAATACTATGTACTCTCATCAAACCAATGTACCTTCTTGTATATAAATAAATAAAATAAATATGCTAACCAACTAAGAAAACCAACAACCCAAAGTTCATGACACAAAACACTGGATGATGTTAAATATTTGCATTCAATTGACAAGATATGCTTAATTTAATGACAAATTAAGTTATTTTAACTTAATGAAGTGTGAACATTTATGCTTTATAATAACTGTTACGTCCATGATGACATGTTCAGAACATTATTCACGAGTGCAGAATCCACGACTCTGATGTTGATAGAGTTCTCTCTCAGAATACTTATTGCACATCTGCTTTTCAATGGGGGTATTCTGCACATCCAGCCATGCCTTCTGGTCTCGTGTGATATTTCTGTGTGCAGATCTGGAATCAGCTCTAATATTTTCCATGTATAAATTAGTATGTATCTTTTCTGCCTGTGCCCTAGAGAATACAGATTTAGGCATTTTTAGTCAGTCTGTAATTTAGATGGTTTATCGAGAGAATTGTGGCAGTGAAGGATCTCTGCATGCTCTCCAGGTCAGCAATTTTCCAGCTTTAAACGGGGCTGTTATTGTGCAACAGTATTCCACTCTAGAAAGCACTAGCACCTAGAAAAGTATCATCATTGGTACAGCATCTCTTGTTTGAAAGGTTCTGTCATTTTTCTTGCAATTGTGACTGCTACTTTATTGTGTTCTTTATAAGTAAGATCTTCTGACATGATTACTCCCCAATTCTTTATATTCCTTTTATGTTCTATGGTATGATTTGACTGCATTTTGTACATGGTTTCCGTTTTGATATTTTTTATTTTCCATAGCGAAAAAGTTGGAACTTATCTTCATTAAATACCATATTTTCTGTGGCCCATTGATTTACATCAGGGTATAGGTTAAATATACCAAAGCTAGAAGACAGAAAAGAGGTGATATGGTCACTACCTACAAAATTGTAACAGGAATCAATAAAATTGACAGAGGAATTCTTGAAACCTGCCATACAACTTCAAGAACACGAGCTCACAGACTTAAGCTAAGAAAACAAAGGTGATGGAAAAAATATTAGGGAGTTCTCTTTTGCAAACTGTGGTAGATGGTTGGAACATGTTAGGTGGTGGTGGATGCCAAAACCATCAGTAGTTTCAGAGCTTCAAAGTACTAGGATGACTGGACACCATGAGCATAGCTCTCATCCTGCAATTAAACTTAGGTCATTTCTAGACTGACACTATTGTAAGGAGACTTCAGATTTTCCTGTTCCTTTCATACAACTGTCACATATGAAGGAGTTTTTTGGAGTGTGCACATAAGAGAGTATCCAATGGAAAAGTATTCAATGTTGCAAAAAGCTGCAACATACCATAAATTACATTATCATTCTTCCTCTTTAAATATTAACCAAGCTACAACAAAAGTCTACATGCGAGACTTTACACAGGTTACTTAGGTTTAAGGAATTCATATTTGCAATAGTGAAAATAAGCACAGCGAAAGCCAATGTAAAATAATGTTAAGTCAGGGGCTATTACCAGTTAATAAAGAATGCAAATATTGGTTTAAAACTCTAACCTTCTCTGGCACAGCAGCAACAAGGGAGATAGCTAGACCCATTCTCTCTGCTCTACCCACACGCCCAATACGATGAACATAGTTGCTCTTCTCATCTGGCAGTGTCACATTGACTATAAATGGCAGTCCTCCAACATCTGCAGCAAACATTTGGATGTTTTAACAATATCCTCATATCCTCAGGCATCTTTTAAAATATAGAGAATTTCCCCAAGAGAAAACCAATGCATGCAACGAAAAGAACTTACCAATTCCTCGAGCAGCTACATCAGTGCATATAAGGAACTTCACTCCACCATCCTTAAATTTTTGGAGATTCGCTTTGCGTTCATTAGGCTTGCGGTCACCATGGAGACACACACACGAATATGGATTGCCTCTGTTATTGGCCCCTCCTCCTGTTAAAAGTTTTGGGGCAGTCAGGGTTTAGTTTAGCACAATGATAAAGGATGACAAATGTTCCTATAAATCAACTACAGTATTTTAATTAAATGAAGCACTAATCTCATACCACTCTATGGGCTCCATAGGCTCAATTTTAATTATACTATATTTCATGAGACTATGTATTATGAGGAATATTTAACCTCACTAATCAACCAAGGTCATTTCATCAGCAGTATACATCAACAAGGACCAATTTTATGTATAGTCTAAGATTTTAAACTCCAGCAGGTAGAGGGGCTTGCATCTGCTTCCTCACACCACAAGTAACCAGATGCCATCTTGGGGAAAAATCATGGGCACTCCTGGCTGTGAGGGGCTCAGTAGTGAAAGAGACCATGAATGGTGCATACAGTGGTAGTTCACAACACCACCATGAAGCTTGTGCCTACAGCATCACTTAATAACATCGAAATAACTTAATTTAACAATGATCGTGTTATATAGATGATCCTGACAGTGTTAAAGACTTTGTACAAGGTTCAGATATCAGTGAATCTAATGCTGGCTATGACATTTACAGTAAGAGAGACAGCCACAGGTTAGAGCACCTATGCATCAGTAATGGGACCTCATGCTCCTTTAGAAAAAGAACATGTGAAAAATTATTCATATTCAGGATTTATTGACCAGGTTTCTCATAAGAGCACTGTTTTGGCTAGTGCTGTAGTGCATCAGGTGGCACTTTGCTTCGTCATGTGCCAGCAGCAAATGAGCATGTGGGACTATGCTGTGGTTGTATCTACATTAAAAGAATATCATCCACTGGAACTGCTTAGTGGTTCATAATATTGCATTAAAATGTAGGTATACACACATAATGTGTATATACATTGTAATAACTGTACAAATAATACATATTAGTGTTCAAAGAATATAATAGTGTGCATATTAGTAACAAATACATGTGTATTTGTATTTATTATACATGGGTATGTGCAAGATACCCATGTATCTTGCCTTACGGCTACCGTGTGTTGGTTCCCAGGATTAAAGTCCTTGCGGGCTTGGTCTCCGAACAGGACTCTTGGTTGGTGGTGTGATCAACCAGACTGTTAGATGCAGCTGCTTGCAGCATACTAGATGTACAATAGTACATTCTGCGTACATTCATTCTGAGCAATAATTCAGTAGTAGTTTGCAGTATATAAATAATAAAATAATACTAACAGCCCAATGCATCATTGCCCTTGAAAAACTATGGTAAAAGCATTCAAAATATGAATAAGATGTATTATGTTCAATGCGTGCTGTTACAACTTCATGTAAAATATGCAGGGCTAAGCTGAATTTGGATCACTGGTTACTAGATTACCACGCCCGGAAAGGGAGCCGATCGGCCGAGCGGACAGCACGCTGGACTTGTGATCCCGTGGTCCCGGGTTCAATCCCGGGCGCCGGCGAGAAACAATGGGCAGTGTTTCTTTCACCCTATGCCCCTGTTACCTAGCAGTAAAATAGGTACCTGGGTGTTAGTCAGCTATCACGGGCTGCTTCCTGGGGGTGGAGGCCTGGTCGAGGACCGGGCCGCGTGGACACTAAAAAGCCCCGAAATCATCTCCAAGATAACCTACCAGAACTGATTAGTGGATCATATTAGTGTATGTAGATATACTGTACATAGAATGTGTATGCAATGCGATAATAGCAAAAACCAGCACATTTTATTGTTCATAGAATATAATACTGTGTGTGTATATTAGTGATACAAATGTGTATTTATATTTTGCATGTTTTATTATAGAAATTTCTTAAGTTAAACACTGTTGCATAATATAGCTGCAAAATACCAGTGAATAAAATCAGTAACACTAAAATAATGTAAATGTATTTTTGGCAACTCATGTCACCCAGGGAACCTTTATGCCTGGTAATCTCATCCACCAATGTCTCCAAATTGTGCCCGAGATATTTCTTCTTTCGACCACAGCCAAAGTAAACTAAATGTTAATTATTATTTTTCAGTGATTATTTTAACATTAAAGAACTTTTTTTTTCACACCATGGAGTTGTTACTAGTATAAGTAACAGGCACACAGTGTAGGGGTTTAATCTATTTAAAGATTTACAAATTCAAGACACCTACCAATTTGATTAAAATAGCGCTCTAAATTGTCACAATCCAACTTAGTGCGGCAGAATATTAGTGCTTGATCCATTTTGTGTGTGTCAATAGCCTTAATGCAGTACTCTCCTTTCAGCAGCTTCACCGCCTCACTTAATGTCTCTGAAAGGAGAAAAAACAAAACAGCAATGAATGTAAAGAAATGCCTCTTTCCGGTAGATGTCCAGTGGCCCTCCTGAAGCTATCTCACCGAAATTGCTCCGTGCAAGTGGATCACACCAGTCACGGAATTTGTTTGGACATGATTCGATATTCAATAATGCTATATTCAGTAATGCTATACAGTATTCATAATCCTATATATTCATGATCATAATGTTAAATTCAAGCTATTATTAACTACTGGAAAATATTATCAAGTATTGCATTATTGGGAGAGTGAGTACTACATAATACTGTAATCTCAATGCTAGAAGGGTATGAGATTAGCGCTGCAATTGAGTGGTGGACCGGAGCACTAAAGTAGCAATCACCAATAGAACAACAGCAACAGAACTGAGTAGGGAAGTTAGTTGAAGGCAGGGGCCAGGCCAACTGGTCGTGCCGATCGGTACTAATGCTTAAGTACAAGCCAGCTTAAGTGAACCTCAAAAAATATTCATAGCTCATAATGTGAAGCAGCATATTACAAACCATTAAAATTGGCAAATGGTATCTAAATACATATCTGAACAAGCTAAATAAAAATTCCGGACACCAAACTGAAAAGCATAACAAATTAAAACATTAGAAGCACTTACACTTACAGTACTTTAAAAAACTAAGACACATTCTCAAATATTAACTGTAAAGCTTAGCCTTGCACTTTTATTTGCTTACCAGGTGTATTGTTCCCAGGTCGTACGCCATCCTTAACATGCACGCCATCAGTTTGCAGATGGCGACGAAGATTGCTCCATCTACTATCCGTTCTGGGATCAATGGTTACGACAACGTGGTGGACAGTCTCGGGCACAGCATCTTCCCCTTTAAGATCTACCCAGGTCGGGAAGTGCATCAAACGTTCCTGTGTAAAGTTTTTCTATAGTAAAATTCACTGGTCGGAGCAAAATTATTTTAAGGTATTGAAATATCTGTACTCTATTTGGAATTCAGAGGCTCTAATATCAAGAAAATATTCTTGGTAAAATTATTATTTTTTTCTTCTTTTTACAAATTTTTTGTACATCTCTTATTTATAGACACTAAATTAAAAACCAAAATTAAAAAAATATTATACGATAAAAGTTTTGGCTTCAACATGTACACCCTTATTTAACAGACTAGTAGCTACCAATTCTTTCAAATAATCTGCTATCAGAACTGACATAACAATGATTAGCAATACAGTACATTATATTCATACTGTACCATTTACAGACAATTCTATTTTATCAGTTAATAATAACATTTAAATACAAAATATAGCAAGTACTGTACTTCTGTTCATTTTTTAAGTGTAATCTGCTTTAAATACATTTTCCATCTCCTTAATACAATCAAGCAGAATTTCAACATTTTTCTACATATTTCTGGAATAAATAATTTAAATTGACTTAAATAGTGCATTGCAAGTGCATCGTTAGGTGCAATGCACTTGCACCATCCACACACAGGATTCTTAAGTTCAGTGTCTAATATCAGACAAGCTTGCTCCACTACCACTATGTTCCACTTTCACAAGGTTGGAAGGCATCAACACCAAGAAAACATGGAGGCGTATACGAAGAGATAAAACTTGTTACACATATTACACAATAAATTAACCATACTTTTCACAAAACACAATCACAGAACATGAATGACCACACACACCAGTAAATCAATAGCAGCAATGATCCACAGTAGTGCTTAAGTAGGTATACAGAGCTCCTTGTGAGATGCCAATTACTGCAGAAAAACAACACAAACTTCCTCTTCACAGGAAGATGGGATGATATGCAACCCGTCCTCTTAAAAATAACGTCACTTTTTGCTCGTATACACGCTATGGCCAAAAGTGGACGTAATTTGAAATTAAATTAACTCACAAAAGTGACGTACTGTCCTGTTTTCTGTTTGAGTCGTCCGGCTTACTCGGTAAGGTTAGAAGAGGAGACTTTCAATTAACGTTTTTCATAACATTTTGAAACTTTATGAGAATTTCCTGCCCACCTAACCTACCAGAGGACCCTTAACTTACTGTTGTTGAAAAAAAAAAAAAAAAATCCCAAATTTTCATTTTTTTTTTTTTTCATTTTCATATAACTGTACGTCCACTTTCGGCCATACGGGCAAACGGCCAAAAGCGACATTTTTAAGAGGACAGGTTGTGAAATGAGGGAAGAGAGGGAAGGAAGTAGCTGCACTGATGCCTTAAAGTCCTCAAGTGAAATCTGCATGGAAAATTGGTAATGATGTTGCTCCTCTGTGAAAGGTTCTCAAAATTAAGTTTCTATAGCTCTTAATGACAGCTTTAAAGCAGGTGGATGAAATGTAACATGCCAGAGTTTTGTCATCATCATCCTACAGGCTCACCATAGCCCGTGCTGCTTGGGACTTTTTGTTCCAAGTAGCGAATCTTGAACATCAACATCATCATCCATACTTGGGTGAAACATATGGAGTTGTAGCAGTGTGCGAGGGCTGAGATATTGTGCAGCTGAAAGCTTTACTGTGGATAGTAGAAGACTTGAAAATGAGTAAACTGAAGCAAACTGTAGTAGAAAGGATGACGAGTGTGTGATGTAGGAAGTACAGTACTAGAATCTGTCGTTTAAATATTTGATGCGTGTAATTGGAAAAAAGTTTCATGCAAATAAGATTGAGCAAAGACAGAACTGAGGGAAGGAAATTGACTGGTGGAATGTAAACCGTGCCTATAGTAAAAGCAACATACTAAATATTGTACTATATTTACTATGATATTATCTTTTCTTCTATTTCTTTCAGGTAACACATTTTCAGCAGCCTTCCAACATGAATAGTAAAGCTTTAAACTACTGAATCTCTCACCTTCACCACTTCTGCAATTACATTCATAAAGTCTGATACACAAATTCCTAACATGCACTTATGATTCAATCTACAGTATTTCCACATTGAAAAAGAGAGCATTAAGTAACTTTGAAGTATTAAAGACACAATGTCATATTATATATATAAAATATGTATACCTAACCATTAATAAAATGTCACCCTTGTACAAAATATTCTTTATGGAAACTAATTGATACATTAGACAACATTCTTTCCACTCCATATATGCTTGGAACACACTAGTCATGCTATTCACTGTTAATTTTCACTTGATTATTATATAGTATACCATAATCTAAGATAATTCATAATCCTTAGTCTTAAGACATTGCACCGTTGAGAAGGCACAATTTTCCTTAGCAAACAAGTGTTACCAAATAAGGGTTCAGAAACTTACTGCCATGCGCTTCACTTCAAAGGAATGTAGGGTGGCAGAACAGACCACCATCTGGAGTCTCTTGCCTTCAGATGTGATTTTGGGTATGGAGTTGTAGATGTTATTGATGAGACGCTCATGCCCCTGCAATACCAGTACACTTGTATACAAGATAAAGTAATTACATGAAACAAAATATGGCAAGAAATTTAATGCAATAAATGAAAGTCAACAAAATACAGTAATGCATCAAGTTACCTTATAAATAAATCAGCTGTATATTTAAAGTCATTTAAAAAATATGACCAACCTTTCCAGGATGAAATCTATAAAAGTTGCCCAACTCTCAAGTGCCCATTTACTGATAGCCAAAGACGCACATTAAGGAAATGTGTAAATGTTCCACGAGTAGTTGACTTAATACAAGAAATCAGGTAGTCAAGAGTTCTTAGTTTTTTTTCTAATTCATAAGGCAAGCTGATGATACAGTACTTGAATTTATATCAGGTATTCCTACATATTTACTACCAAAATATAAAAAGTACTTTTCCTTGGATAAAATCAAACTTACCTGTTTAAGAAGTCCATCAGCCTCATCCAACACAAAGAATTTGCAAGACTGGAGAGAGAGTTGTCCTGTATTAATAAGATCTTCCAAGCGTCCTGGAGTACCACAAACAATATCCACACCTGCATTGAGTGCTGCTATTTGCTCCTTCACGGGTATACCACCAACAACAAGAAGGTCACGAACCACTGGATTATCTAGATGCTTACGAAACATTTGAACCTGTTTTAGGGTCTGTTCTGCGAGTTCTCTTGAAGGCTGTTAAATGATAAAAACTTTTGTTTGCATTAAAAAAAAAATGGTCTGCTTTTGGAACTTGCCACTTCTATCTAAACTGTTTAACAATTCACATAGCACAACATACTACTTTTAGTTTGAATTTTCATATTGTATGTATCCAGGATTTAATGAACAGGTTAGTTTAAAAGCAACAGTGATGTAAAAATGAATCTGTACCGAACTGTATAGGTTATATTGTTAGACATCCATCCAGCAATCAATATAAACCAGATACTGGACAAGTAAATACAGACCAGTCACGTGTTACCATTCTTACCTCAATAATGACAGCGTGTGGAGCATTGTTCTGAAGCTTTTGTGGCTTGTCTCCACCTCCCTTCACACCTGAGCTCACAGTACAGTCCTTGCTGGCCTGAGACACTGCTACGTATCCCGCTTTAGGTGGGTGCTTGAACTCTGTTGCACCAAAATTGAAAGACATCTCTGCATTCTGGAAATCACGTAAATTGCTATCATCTGTAACTTTCAAATATCATTAAATTCACTGAAGTTATTCTTGCACTTTATTGAAATTAGAGAGATTTGAGTAAAGAACCAACAGTTAAAAACTGATAGAAAATTCAATAAGAAATTTACTTATTTGTATTAATTTTCTTAATGACCTAGATCATAAATATGATCCAAATTTTGGAGGTGTCACTGTATATATACATGACCACTATACACTTTTGAAATACACCAAGTCCAAATACTGTGACAAATGCATAACCCAAAAAAAAAAAAAAACTGGGCAAATTTCAGTCTGCCTTAGACCATATCTATAATTAATTAATAACATCATCCAATTATCCACTGCTTAAAATACACAACTAACATGAATAATGCATGCACTATACTACCAACCTTCAAAACTACAGCTGGATGGAAGACAGCATTCTTGAATTCACTTCGTAATGTGAAAGCTTTACCTAAATCAGTGCCATTTTTGCTGTAATGCATCTCCATGGCATCCAGGTTGAGATAGCAACCAATGACATCCCTGAGGCCAAAAGATTCACCATAATCGTCAAACTGCTTGCAATTAGACTTTTTTCCAGTGCCTCCAAATCCAAATCCCGATTTACATGTTCCAAGATCTAATGCTGCCTGAAAATATAAGTTGTTTTGGTTGTGAATATAAAAAATATTATTGCATAAAGGCAATTGATAAAATATAACATCTCCCAATGCAGGTGAAAATACAGTACAAACTACAGCAAGCCTTTGCTTCTTGAAGTTTTGAAAGCATTAAATTCGCCTAACATGAGGTAGGTACTTTATTTTTTTTTTACTACAAATACGCAAGTAATGGTTTACTCAGCACAAATTAACGTTTTAATTTGTTTTACCAACTTTCTGCATTAAATTCTTGCATAATTATCTTTTCCAAATGGACTTCAATGCCTGTTCCTTCCACCCCCCCTTCAAAAAAATAAAAAAAAATATTTACTCACTTTCATTACCATTTTGGAAACAATGGCTGTTTCCAGGATGGAGGTGTCAAACAGTTGGGTTTAACTTTACCAGTGTTCTCTTTGGCGTGTAACCATGTTTAATAAATGATATTCAATAGACCAAAATCAAGTCATTTTCCAACCCGTTCTCGCACTTCCTTAAGTCAATATTGACTTATTAAATACGTGCATATGTGACAGTGAATATTTTAGTTTATCTTGAAAAGCTTCATAGAAAACACCAACCTTCCCTTCAGTATGTTAAGATAAGCATCTTATTGCTTCGTAATTACAAGTCATTTTCTGATATGCAGAGTGCAGCTGCATTTCCCTCAACTATGCCTCGATTCGTCTGACTTCATCAAATATTTGTACATCATCATCAATGGATGTGCTAGTCGATGCATTCAAATATGGTGCCGACTTTCCTGGCAGTTGTGTTGATTTCAAGGATTGAATTTGTTGGTTAATATGGAGAGTTTGGGGCAAATGCTGCCTGGAAGTTTTGTATGGAGAGGCTTGCAGCTATTATAACAGTTTACAATCTTAAACTTGTTTTCATGAAATTTGCTTATGTAAAGCAAGGGCTTACTGTATTATTATTATTATTATTATTACATGAAGATGAAAATACACATGAAAAATGCAATCTCTAGAACAAAAGGAGTTGTATATAAGTAAATAAGGTTGATTATGATATGACTACTTGTGAAAACTTCACTACAAAATCATACCTACCATAGTACCAGTTCTGAAGCAATTCTATGAATACCATTTTGAAAGATTAATGCAGAAAACTGGCCCTTAGGTTATGTTTTTGGGAAAATATGCACAAGATTTGATCCAAGAAGTTGCTAGAGAACTACACTGCCCCATTTAAATTTAAACTCTTTACACCATAGTAACTTGTGTAATATCAAGTTGATAGGTAATGGCATTAATAAGATATTCAGCTCATTCACCTGTTTTAATAGTACTTATAGGAAGGATAAGGATGATTATACATGTACATATGGGCCAATAGGCTTTCTGCAGTTACCTTCATTCTTATATACCGATGTACAACACAATTAGAAAGTAGAAATTGATATGTTTTCTATTTTCTAATAGTATTTATGATAAATACTATTGAATTTTCACAAACCGAACACCATTTTCTACTTGTGCTGTAAAGACAAACTATCCTAACCTAACCTTCCTAGGACAAATCCGCTATTCAAGGCATAATATAGTATATATGCTCGCTATACTAGGCCTAGGAATATTTAAGTTTGTTTTTTAGCTAAATTTTTTATCTATAAAGTGAATAGTACAAAGTTCTACTATCTAATTGCTTATTATGTCAATGCCTTACAGCAAAAATTTGTACTATGGTGCACAGTCACAAAAACTAAACAGGATGGGTTGGATATGGAACAGAAACCATTTAAAAATATATAATATAATCCAGTAAAAGTCATAACTAGGTATTCACACTGGGAATACAGTATAGTACAGTATTACCATTTCTACTGAACTATAAAATGTTCAGCAGCAGCTAAAAGAAATTGGAGGAACAAAGGTGCCAGCAATACTGCCTACCTGAGGAGTTGCCCACCCGACACGACACAACCCTTCATCCGACACAACGGCTTCATAGTAATATTTTCCCTTGCCAGTGACACCCTTGGTGCAACGGGCACCCTGCCATGTTTTAGGATCCCGTGACTGGCACCGCAAGCCATCAGGTGTCACAGCCATTCCTGCGTCACGGTCAAAGAAGCTCATCAACCAGAGAGGAGCTATTTTGCAAAAAGAAAAAAGAAAAGAATAATAACAGTATAATATTAGAGTAACAACATTTATAATAATACTATTTATATTAAAATTTATGTACAGTACTAGTATATGCATATTTATATTTATGCATACTAAAAGCATTTATAATAATAATTTTCAGATATCAAGTACAGTACTGCAATAAACAGGCACAAAAGAGCAATGGACACTTGCATATTTCTTTAGTAACTTTTGAAGTCTTGCCAAGCTGAATATCCTTAAGTGATTTCCAGACAATTTGTAGGATGGGAAGACAGAAAGCACCAGTCTTGCCACTGCCTGTTTCAGCTGCCATGAGCACATCCCCACCTCCCAAAATAAGTGGGACTGCCTCATTCTGGACATCCGTTGGCAACCTAAGAATGAATGTTACAATAGATAATGAGTTTACTATTTTGCAAGCTTTGGGCTAACATTTCCTGTGTCCACCTAGATGATTACAATCTTTTATACTTAATGATTTCTAAAATTACTAATTAATTAATGAATGTAATTAAATGTTTGTGTTAGTTCTAGATATACCTAAAGAGTCTATAATTTACCCTTAAAAATTTGCAAACATTTAAAATCCAAAAACTTATAATCCGGCTTGAATTATGACGAAAAGCGAATCAGACCAAAAATCATTCAGTTCAGTGAAGATGCGGTTGATCTACCAGAAACCTCCTGCTCAGAAATTAGCGAAGTAATGAGCAGAATAAAGTACCACATGACAGACTGGCGAGGAAATTACAAACACATGCAATAAATAGTAGAATACTGTACTAGGACGAATAAAACATTGGTTAAAACACAGTTAAGGGTCATCCTTAATAGAAATGATTTCAACTGGAGAAATCTTGAGTACACTGTACTGCAGGGTTCCATATTGGGGCCAACCCTTTTTGTCAAATACATCTATGACAAATGAGAATACAGTACCTGTATTACAAACCACATTATCAAATTTGCACATGACCAAGATCTATGGTGAAGTGGGAAGTAAAAATTATAATTGAATTAAATGGAGAAAAGAAAAAGATTAAATGAAATCCAAAAGTGGTTGGAAGACTGTCAAATACTTTTTAATATTGAAAAATGCAAGACTTGCATGCGAGGCATAATGCACATCACAACTACAAAATCAACATTATTTTGCAGCAGATTGATGAAGAAAATGACAGAGTCAGAGCCCACTGATCATTGAAAGTTGCACAAATGGGAACTCCAGTATTAAACTTCTCCAAGTTTTGTGCCAGAAGATGTACACATTGCTACCGACAGATTGAGCGGCATAGACTACTGCACACTACACAAGTTTGGTTACATAGCGGGTACAGGAAGACTTGCAAAATTTATACCCAAGTACCATGTTTACAAGCATGCAAAAAGACGATTAGTGAAAGCCAGCATGTACCTGGTGCACAGAATGCAAAAGTTACCATGTGTACTACTGTATTGAGTGCTTCAATGAATTTACTCATGAAGTACTGAGAGTATTATGGTGTAAGTACATTGTACATTGTCTCACATTATTTCAGAGTATGTGAGACAGTAAATATTAGTGAAAATTTAACATGTAATATTGACCACTTTTTTGTGGACACATTAGTGACACTTATTATCATTATTAAAACATTACACATGTTCTACTGTGTACACGAAAACATAAATAATAGTATTATTCGATAAAAATCACAAAAAAAGTATCTGTGGCAACTCGCGGGTCTTGAATCACCCAAGAGATCAGCTTCGAGTCACTCCTGCACATGTGCTCAACATCTTGTGATGACATTGTGACAAATTAGATTTTGTAATTGTTTTTCCATTTACATGATCAGGGAGGCAATTTTAACATTAAAAAAAAAACTGGGTATAATTTTTGTTGTGCACCATGAAGTTATCATATTAAACAGCTGCACAGTACATGGGCTCATTTCTTAGACAAGTATGTATAATACAAGTATGTTTAGGGCAAGTATTCACAAATGAAAACATTTATTTATTTATTTATTTATTTATATATATATACAAGAAGGTACATTGGGTTTGTGAGAATACATTGGATAGTACAGTAATTACATTCTTGTAAAGCCACTAGTGCGCGCAGCGTTTCGGGCAGAAAGAAACATTAAAAAAAGTTAATATTGCAACCATACTAGTTTTCCATGCAATACAATTTACTTTAAATCTCTCTATAGTATTTACAGGGAATATACAGTGCATAATCATATCATACCATACCCAATGAAGATCAAATAAAACTACTAGTCCATTTCAATTATTTACCAACTATATTTACTCCAGTACAGTATTTGAAACACTTTATTGAGTACAGCGTTACATAATGTACAAGAGAATCAGCAAACTTACGTCCAATCCATCTCTTCTACAGCCTTAGCTATTTCTGGGAGTACACCCATTTCTGAAAAATGAATATTATATAAATTTCATAAGCCAAAGTAATTGGTTAGTAACAAAACTTTTAATTATCTTGTTTTAGACTTATGAGGAGGGGGCAGCATTAGCCCAGAAGAAAAAATGCAAAACTATTGTATTGTTCTAGCAGGTTATAGGTATAAAAAAAATAAAACCACTACAATATTCCATTCATTGCATCATTCAAACTATGTAAATATAAAAAAAGACATGCACTCATCTCTCACTCTAAGCAGTATCCAACTGCTTTTTAAGACCTGTATACAGTGCTATCTCATGAATTGTCCACCATAATCAAATACTGTACATGCACTCCATTCTTACAAACTGCTTCCACCCAGCCACTATTTCCATAACCCATTTGCTGTTCACACTCATTTCCTGCTTCCTCACTAAGTTTGCCCCACTATCATCTTGGTCCTATTCTCCTATCCTGTCAGGGCGCCTGACAGCTGGGTGGACAGCGCTTCCGATTCGTAGTCCTCAGGCTCCGGGTTCTATCCCCGGTGGAGCCAATATATGTACCTAAGCCATACAACTCTACCATTGTAACCATTGCTATCACCTTATATCATGGTTGTTATATTGAACGCATATTTTACTGCATTATAGTTTAAAATAATCCTCAAATTATGCTACAATGTACCTGTTGATAACTCTCAATTTTTACATTAATGTATATACTAATCTTAGTCAAATTTTTTTACTGTGACTGTAATTTTTTTTCCATTTTGATAGAACTTACCTACGTAAAATTATCTGTTAGTTTAAGGACCCGAAACGCTATGCGTGCTAGTGGCTTTACAAGAATGTAAAAACATTTAATACTATGTACTCTCATCAACCCAATGTACCTTCTTGTATATAAATAAATAAATAAATATGCTATAACCAACTAAGAAACCCAACAACCCAAAGTTCATGACACAACACTGGATGATGTTAAATATTTGCATTCAATTGACAAGATATTGCTTAATTTAATGACAAATTAAGTTATTTTAACTTAATGAAGTGTGAACATTTATGCTTTATAATAACTGTTAACGTCCATGATGACATTGTTCAGAACATTATTCTCCACGAGTGCAGAATCCACGACGATCACTTCGTGACGCCGGAAGGGTCCTCGGCGCTCCTCTTGTCTTCAAAACAAGACTTCCCGTCACTTTCCACGCTATTTCCGTTTCCGTCTCTCCACGGTACTCCTCGAGCGCCCAATTCTCAAGAACAGTCTTATAGGATGTCAGCCGGTTCCCAGCTCTTTCCTACACGCCTTCTACAGCTCTAAACTCTTCAGTTTTGCCATTTAGAGCTGTATGTTTACCATGAGATTTATAAGCTTATAGCTGTCTTATTGTAACCTTTACCTCAGACGACCACAGCCAGACAGTAAGAAAGGCAACCAAGGCCGTCTCGGGGTACTAGAGAACATCTATAACGACGGGATAACATAATACATTAACTCTCACCACGTCAAGTCTGTCACGTGACACCAGACTCTGATGTTGATGCCTCTCGTCGGTCTTGCCTCTCAAGTCTTCCTACTTGAGCACCTGTACACTGAACATTGCTACCTTCAACACTGCCAGTGTATCCTCATGATGGATATATAGGGGTTCACAACTATAGTCACTCGATGTGCATGGCGTCCACTACCAACTGTTGGATGAGTATGGGGTCCACTACCCCCCACATCTGTGCGGTAGTGGACTCCATACCAATACTGTGGATGGTAGTGGATCCCATACCCATCCTATGGGCGGTTGTAGGCCCCTTACCTATCCTACAGGTTGTAGTGGGCCCCATATCCAGTAGTGGATATGGGGTAGTAGATTGTGTGCTACGCAATCCCCAAATATATATACCTAAACCTTACAACTTTACCATTAAACATTGTTGTCATCGTATATGTGGTATCAGTGTGCTTTAATGTGCCTACTAATCTTTGTCATATTATCAGTCAAGCAATCAGTGCTTTCAATCAAAGCTTTCAATGTGCTGTAATGTACTTATATTTATATATATGTCTGTATTTAAATAAAAATAAATAAATTTCCACCCTGCGGGCGATAGTGGACCCCGTGCTCATCCTGTGGGCATTAGTGGACCATATATCCATCCTCTTAGCAGTAGTGGACCCCATTACACAGAAATCACAATAGCGTGATGCATCAAATGAACAAATCCACAAGGGCCGTGACGAGGATTCGAACCTACGTCCAAGAGCATTCCAGACGCTGCCTTAATCAACTAAGCTACGACATGATCAAAAGAATTGCAACCAGAAGTTTTACTGAATTTACTTGGATCCTACAGCCTCTCCGAGACACAAACCAGGATTTTACACAGTTCATGCACTCCAGCTATGTCAAAAGGCAACTCTACCCCATACCCGTTCTGTAGGTGGTAGTGAGCCCCATACCCATCCAATGGGCGGTGATTCCTATACCCATCCTGTGGGCAGTAGTAGACCCCATACCTATCCAGCTGTGGTAGTGGACCCAATACCCACCTAACAGTTGTAAGTGGACCCCATATCTATCCTTTTGGGTGGTAGTGGACCTCAAACATCGTGACTTCTTGTGGACCTGTTTGCAGTAGTGTACCCTATAGATATTCCAACGTCAAATAATTTTCTGTTGACTTTCATACAACTCATTTTCTAAGATTTTCAAAGCTTACACTATTGTATATGTTGTTGCTTAGTGAAATCATCATTATTATATGTAATAATTTATAGTGCGCTAATTATAATTTACCCGTTAGGCCCATAAAGGGGCCTGAAGGCTGAGTGAACAGCGCAAGGCATTTGTAGTCTTAAGGTTCTGGGTTCAATCCCCGGCGGAGGCAGAAACAAATGGGCAGTTCCTTTCACTCTGATGCCCCTATTCACCTATTTTTTTTTTTTTTTTTTTTTTTTGAGATATATACAAGATTTGTTACATTCTTGTACAGCCACTAGTACGCGTAGCGTTTCGGGCAAGTCCTTAATCCTAAGGGTCCCTGGAATACGATCCCCTGCCGCGAAGAATCGTTTTTTCATCCAAGTACACATTTTACTGTTGCGTTAAACAGAGGCTACAGTTAAGGAATTGCGCCCAGTAAATCCTCCCCGGCCAGGATACGAACCCATGACATAGCGCTCGCGGAACGCCAGGCGAGTGTCTTACCACTACACCATGGAGACTAAACTAAACCTAGCGGGAAATAGGTACCCGAGAGCTAGACAGCTGCTACAGGCTACTTCCTGGGGATGTGTAATAAAATGGAGGCCTGGTCGAGGACCGGGCCACAAGGACACTAAACCCCAAAATCATCTCAAGATAGGAGAGAATGCTATGGAAAACTGAAATCAAATTAAATCAAGATCAATAACTTAGAGAATTTGCTAATGAATTTGATTGGAGTGACTTGTTACTTGTTAGGAGAGGAAGTAAATGATGTATGTCAATTTGTTAGATATGTGATGAAGGCACCAAAAACTTTATACCAAAACAAATGTACAGAACTAGAAAACAACTTGTTCAATAGAAATTGCAAGAGGGCCAAAGAGAGAGAAAAAATAGGTTCATTATAGGAAGATTGCCCAACCACTTGATCCATTATTGTCCAACAGGTTTGACACCATTCCTTTTCTCTGTTCCATCCCAAATTCATACCCTGATCCCTTCCATGTACTCTATAGTTGCAATTGCTTAAAGCTTTCTTCTGATAATTACCTTACCTTACCAATAGGGAAAGGCCTAATCCTCAAATATACCAGCAATACAAACAAGCAAGAAATAACTACACAGCAGTGAGAAGGCAGAAAGAAGCGTTGAAAAAGGGGTAGCAGATAAATGTAAAACACAACCAGGCCTTTTCTATAAATTTATTAAAAGTAAGTTGCTTGTAAAGCATAAAATTCAGAGATTGAAAATGGGGGACAGATTCACAGAAAATGAATAGGAAATGTGAGAAACACTAAATGACAATTTCAAAGTGTTTGTGTAAAATTAGACATTTAGAGAATCAGACACAGTGTCAGATTCAAGTGCTAGGAAGAAGCAAAACAGTTGGCACAGATAAAATTTCTCTTTGGGTTCTGAGAGAATGCACACCCGAGCTGAGCATTTCACTTCAATTGATATTTCAGGCATCTTTGTGTACAGGAATCTTAGCAGATACAAGGAAAAGGCAAGCAGTTCTAATCTAGAAAAATGGTAGTGGAGAAGACCCTCTCAATTATAGACCCATATTGCTGACAAGTGTGGTAGTCAAAACGCTATAAAAAAAATAGTGAAAACCAAATGGGTAGAATACCTGGAGAGAAATGATACAGTAACAGACAGACAGAGAGTATGGCTTTCATACAGGAAGAAGCATAAGAAGAAATAGACAACAAATAAAAAGGTCTTGTAATAAAATTGAGTGAGGTAATAAAAAAATAGAGATAAAGGATGAGTGATAGTACTTGGAGACTTCAATATGACAGGGGAAGGGAACGATCAGGAGCAGTGCCAAACCAGTAAGACTATTTAGCACTTTGATCAGGAACAGAATTTGGGATGGGACAGGGAAAGGAATGGTCGAGGATTGAACATTGACCTGCATGAAGTGAGATCGTTGCTCTTCTGCCCAGCCAAAGTGATTGGGCGATGTCTTTTCAATGTGAAAACAATAGATTGAAAGGCCTTTGATACAAGAGACATAAGATTTCTGGACTAACATATTCATGAACCTCTTCATGGAGGTATTCATGTATCAGCATGTCACAAAACCAATGAGGAAAAAGAGATAAATAAACACACCGATCAATGGTGTGGATCGCCGGTGCGGGGGTCTTGGTCTCCCCCTTCCCACTCCCAGGGAGGGGGAGCTGCACAGCCATGCCGAGCGACTCGTGTGACATCATGCTCCTTTGCTCGTTTTTATTTGGGGAGTTCTGTCCATTCTTTTGTCTATTTTCG